TACTTGATTAGCCAATACTCATCTGTACCAGTGCAGTGTTAGCTACATAGAACTGATCCTTGGATTGATTACTCTTCAATAAGTAATAAGCCGATACCCACCTGTATCAGTGCAGTATTAGCTACATAGAACTGATCCTTGGATTGATTACTCTTCAGTAACTGATAAGCTGATACTCACCTGTACCAATGCAGTGTTAGCTACATAGAAATGATCCTTGGTTTGATCACTCTTCAGTAACTGAAAAGCCTTGTAAAAACTGTCAGGAACATCTTCTCGTGCGAGACCTGCTTTACGAAACCCAAGAACTGAACTCATTTCGGTTGCTGTTTTAGTCCTAGCACCTAGGAATGCCATGCTCAACGCAGTGGACAAGCTGAAGGGTGAAAAGAACACGTTTCTTCCCTCACTTGATAGTCTTCTGTATAATTGGATACCAAACTGGTTAACAGCTGTCTTCAGTTTTTCATGAGACCGGTCTACTTTTTCTGTGACAAAATGTTGTTCGTGACAAAAGGCATTGTTGACAAACAGCACCACCAGATTGAAGCCTAAGATTCTTGCCCTAAACATGTTTTCTCTGTCAGAATAAGAGAAACAGAATCATCAATATTTATCTTGAGGAACAAGAAAGATTTGTAGATTAGATTTTAATGTAATGAATAATTATTGACATAACAAATAAAACATACTATTCTACAGCACTTAATTCTTTCAATAACTGAAACATAATGTTACATCCACAAAATTCAAACACACTCGAGAATAAGTACCTTAATGCATTAGTGAAGTTGGTTCTAGTGAAAAAAATGCAAGTCATAAAATATATCTACTGAGGTTATCAACAGTTTATAAGAAGTTTTTCCACGTTACGCCCTGTCCTTGGAACTATTTCCTCGCTTTTTATACAAAACCCTTCTCTATGCCATGAATTCGGCACTTAAACCATGTTTAAACAAACTATAGACACAATAGTTCGTTGAAGCTGCATAGCAAGAATTGACTGTTATGTCTTCCTGGTTCTAGTTTGTTACTCGAACAAACTTCTGATGACTTCGAGGATTGAAACTGTGAACATTTAATGTTTATAAAAATTTGTTGATTATTTTGATATCTGTACCGTGAGATAAGCCTTTCTTCAACGTTTGTAAAATGATAAAACTTTACAACCCGAGCGCTTTCGAAAGCTGGACCTTTCTTCTTCATAGGCAAACTGAAGACTGTTTCTCAGAACTTGAAAACACACAATAGCACACAACTTCAGCCTCAGACCACACATTAAACTGGCTGTCCCTAGTGTAATCTATAGACATGTGAACAGACACATTTCCTATGATTGATACACAAAAAACAGCACAATAATTAAACAATAAAACTCAACATTTTAATGAGTTAACCAAACATGTATGCAAACTTAACCCTTGACGTACCTCCATTAACCACATAAACCTAATACCATTCATTAATTTTCTCGCACGAGATGTACTTCACCTTAATTTTTCTGGTAATTTTACCTTGGCCTCAAACTTTAAATACATTATTTCCCGTAGCATTCTCCCACTCTTGTCTTCCTTTTCTAAGTTACCTCAATCATCTCTTATTTCTACTTCTACCCTTCTCTGTCCAAATTCTACATTTCTCTCTATCTCCGAAGCTACCAACGTCTCACACAATAATACATCTATCATTCAATCTGCCCAACTAAAAACTCATTCACCCTCTCACAGTGATCCTTCAAGATCTTCTTTAGGTTGTGCTGAGGGACCAAACAAAAATAGCAACACTCCTTTTTCTTATGCTTCTGTTCTTCGTGCTTCTTTAGTCACAAACACTTCCACTCTTTTACCTCCAAAACTATACTATAATCTTCATCAGTCGATCTGTCAACACTCAACCTGAACCAACCGGCGAATCACTCAACTACAACAGAAAACATCTATTTAAGAAACTTAGAAAACTCACTGAGAAACGCAGAAGACATTATCAACATGCCAAGTCGCTAGTGTATAACATAAAAAACCGAAACATACCTTAATCTCTCGTATTATAAGGAACCTTCCCAATTTGCTCCTGAAGAAGAAAGATCCGCCTTTCGAAAGCATTCGGGTTATATGGTTTATATCATTTTGTACCAAGACATATTGAACCTACGTGTTTTTCAGAATCCAACGTTATAAGACCTTGTTGATTATCTTGATAGTTGTACCTGGAGATATGCCGATTCTCAACTTATAAAACCTTGTTGAGTATTAATTTGATAGATGTTCCAGGAGGTATGCCCATCTACATCACATTAGACGTTCTTCTTTAGCTGTACCAGGAAATATGCCCATCTTCATCACAGTAGACTTTCTTTATTATCTCTGCATTGTTTGACAGTCTCACTTATGATATAAAAGTCTATCTCTTGGTAGCATTGTATTTTCAAAAGTTCAGAAACCTTCTGAACCACGTATATAGTTACCAAACATGTCGTCCTTGGCGCCATCACTATATCAGAGTGTAGAAATCATAATTATGAAATAGGGAGCTCTCTGTACTCCATAATACTGTAGCTACGTATTACTCACCTTCGAAGCGTGGTATATTTGCATAAGATGTCATAACACTAAGTGTGTTAAGGGAAGGTATAAAACAATTAACTTAAGGTTAAGATATAGTTATTAGAACACTTCTTTCTACCCCACTGATACAATATAAGCAATCATAGAAGTTTTAGATGTTGATGCTTTTGTTTATGATAAGAGTTTCGTACATCTTCATGAAGAAGTGGTATATCACCATCCATACCAACATCTAAAATGGATATACGCGTGAAAGTAGAGCGAAACGTCAGATCGAAGGTTTTTTTGTTTTTTTTTCAGAATCAATATTCAGTTATTTAGTTAACTGTAAAAAAATTATTAACATAAAGTCTACAGGGGTTGATCGTACTTTATTAAAATCTACGTAGCTGGTTGTACCTTACTCAAATCTACAAGGTTGGTCGTACCTTACTCAAATCTGACGAAGTGAAAACAAAATTCACAAAACGTAATCAAGAAACAGAAGACTTTTATGGTCTAAAGCAAGACAAACGTTTCAGATTTTAAATGTAAAATAATTTTATTTTTTTGTAAGATTTGAGTTTGGAATATTAGATCGTAAGTAAAAAAGTCTCAGAATTCTAAATGTTACTCTTTCTTTATCACATGCAGAACAGGAAGATTATGTTGAACAAACGTTAAAAATTATTTTGTAAATTAACGTAAAGCTATACTAAAACTTAGCCCCCCGGTCGCTCAGCGGTTACTCTTAGATCTTATGATGCTAAAAGTAAGGTTTCGATGTCCTCCCTGGTCACATCACAAAAGAAATAAATAAACCAAAACTAGTAAAAAAGAATACATTGAGCTAAAACCAGTATTATTATTATGATCGTACCTTATTCAAATCTACATTATTCAAACCTACAAGGTTGGTCGTACTTTACTCAAATCTGACGAAGTGAAAATTCACGAAACGTAATCAAGAAACAGAAGACTTTTTATAGTCTAAAGCAAGACCATCGTCTCAGATTTTAAATGTAAAATAACTGTATATGTTTTAAAGATTTGAGTTCGGAATATTAGATCGAAAGTAAAAAAAGACTCAGAATTCTAAATATTAATTTTTCTTTATCACATTCAGAACAGTAATGTTCTATTGAACAAACTATAAACATTATTTTGCAAAATAACGTAAAGCTATATTAAAACTTAGCCACCTGGTGGCTCAGCGGTTACTCTTACTTTTAGAGCTTATGATACTAAAAGTAAGGTTCGATGTCTTCGCTGGTCACATCACAGATAACCCAATGTGTAGCTTTGCTCTTAAACAAAAAAAAAAAAAAGAAAAAGAAACAAATAAACCAAAACTAGTAAAAAAAAAAAACAACTGGTTGAAGAATACATTGAGCTAAAACCAGTATTATTATAATTATCTTATTTTTATATATATTTACTACTAGCTGGAGTACCCGTCCATTGAACGAGTGAAATAAAAACTCGTTTGCAACAAAGGATGAGAAGGTGTGCTTTTCTTTTTTTTTAACATAATAAATATTAAAAGTGCAATAAAAATGCATAAATGTAACAATACTGAAAACAAAGACATAATGTTTTCAAGAATACTAGCAATAGTGGTTACAAGTTCATTCTAATGCTGAGGGTTTGTTTGAAGTTAAGCACAAAGCTACACAATGGGCTATCTGTGCTCTGCCCACCATGGGTATCGAAACCCGGTTTCTAGCGTTGTAAGTCCGCAGACATACCGCTATGCCAATGGGGGCAATGCTGAAGGATTTTGGATTGTGTGCTGTCCGTTTATTGTTGAAATTTATCGCCAACAAATCACAGACACGTACTGTAAAGAATTCGGCCCTATATAAAACTAGTATCACTATGTCAAGTTTGGTGTTCATTGATCAGAAAATGTGGAAACGTATACGGAACAGATACACACACACACACACATATTGACGTTTATTTATATAGATCACTAAAAATCGTTTTATACTTGTATTATTATTATAACATTGTTTTATAGAAGCACTATTACAACAAACCTTATTGTTTACATCTTGGGAAATGTTTATTATATATAAGCTAGCGTATAGCCCGTCAAAAATGACGGGGCAAGTGTCACTTCCCCCATCTCATAGCATACTCTAACCTCACATTTCATAGCTAATTGAAATAAATAAATTTGGCGAAATCAAGCTTGACCAACAAAGAGGCAAAAAAGTGCAGTCAAGGCAGTCAAACGTAGTAAATTCCTTTGTGAGCCAATCAACTTAAGATTATTTATAAAATGAAACGATTTAAGTTCAAAATTGAGTCGATATTATTACTTTCATTAGAAATATTATGCACTTGGATCTAGGCTAAATGATCCCACACTACGTCTTTACTTTAGGTTTATTATACT